CTTTTATATATTACTGACAGTTTTATAAAATAAAAAGCAATAAATAACGTCATCGATTTACAGCTACATGTATATAGATGTGTTATGGTGCCATGCTTTCGCCATACTAGTACTATAATTGGCACCAAAACATTTTGTTAATATTTTCGTGCATTATTTTATACATTGTCGTATACATGTTGTAGTTAACATATTTATGTAAGGAGAATCTGAATGTACCAAATTAGCGATCCTCAATAACTAAATAAATGTTTAATTTCTTAAATCCCGAAGAAATTCAGTTAATGTTTTGCAGCACGTGTTGTTATGTTCACAATTCATATTTTTGTTATTGATAGTGCAACAATTATAAATCAATCGATTTTGTATAAGATTAAAATCGAATGTACTTCAGATATCATATTATATAATGAGCGAACATCCTCCTTGACACGGACAATCCGTCTGATGAAAGGCGCTTTGAATCTTCATCATTGTCGTGCAATATTCATACAAAGTGTTATCACGCATCACCAATTGTTTACATAAAGATTCTACCACTGCCTCGAGTATGGTACAATATTTATCCACTCGAGACATTTAAATTTTCAAATTTAAAACGCGAGGCTTGCCGAGCGTTTAAAATATTTAACATTAAAATGTCGAGATTTGGTGGTGGAATCTGTTTCTCTAATGATTTTTATACAATATGCAGGCAAACTTATTCCTTCTTTTCAAATGATCTGCAAAAAGATGTATTCGTTTTATGTGACGTCATCAGGCATGGTCACCTTTTTCATGACGTCATAATAGGAAATTCAGAGGAAAGCAAGAAAATTTGACGTCATAATAGAATTCTGACCAATGAACAATTGAGATCAAACAAACCACACGTTGATTGAATAGAAATAATCGACAGGTCAGAAAAAGGATAAATCGGGTAAGAATTAGAGAAACAGAGTTATGAATATCATTACTTGCTAGCAATTATATCTAATTTTACATCAAACTTTGATATTGGAATCCCCTTTCAACCACATTTATCACCGATTAACGATATAGCTAAACAAACTAAGTTATGATCAGTTACATCGATCTTTATTTTTGAAAATTACTTTTTTTAGAAACAAAAAATACCATGGGGAATATAAAATACTCGTTCAACAAAACATTTCACAAAAACAAGAACGCGAAGCTCCAAATAACCGGGGATGATGAATTGTTGAATACTATGAAAATAGGTGTGAGTCTACGTGAAAAATGTCATAAAGATGGTATTTGGGTCAACATTTTTTAAGGTATTGTTATTTATAAGGGTAACCAATTTCATAATTATCCTTCATATTTGTTTCCTTTGCTTAATAGATTTATTGATAGAAGTTATAATGACAATGTATACTGTTGTTGTTATATCGATATCACTCCGATTAATTTTTTTTTTTTTTTTTTTTTAGTTTTTTTTAAATTTTAATTTTGCAATCTATATTTGAAGCAGTACAAGTAAAAGGTTTTCAATATACAAATAGTTTATTTTGGGCATTGCACAAGCTCATGTTGTCCTGTACAGTCCATGACGTTGTTGTATGCAATCGTCTATGGAGTACAGCAACCGAATTTAAGTGTAGAACGCATGATTTCTTTTATATTTTGTCGTTGGATTGCTGTCTCATTGCTGTATACACCAATTTCAATTAATTCATTTTCGTTACTTGCCAATTTCCTTTTGTCATTTACTTTATACTATGCACATTGAGAATCAATGTTACCAATCTCTTTTGTGATGTGTTGTACAAAACAATACGAAGTGCATTTCAAGTCGATTTAAAGAAAATTTTCCTTAATTTTCCTTATTCATTAGCAAGCCCAAGAGTCATTTTAAGAGTTGTAAGACATATTTATTTTTCCATATATCACTGGTTTGTAGTATTTACATAATCTTATTTGCGAATTTTATGTAATACTACTCACAAAGAATCCTCGCACCAAAAATTGCCAGTCTTCTCCATTATGAATACAAAGGAACCGCTTTGACCTAATCTCCCGGAACCCACGATTGCAATCCTAGTTTATGGTAGGGCTCGTGTTGGTCTATTTTGATTTGTCTGTGTTTCGTTTAGTTTTGTTTTTGGACATTTTGTTTGTGTGGTGTTTTTTATGTGTCTTTTGGTTTGGTTTCGGTCTCCTTTTTTGTTTTTAGCAATTATGTTGTTATTTTTCAATCTACGACTTTAATATGACTGTTCCTTTGTATCTTATTTCTTTTGACATAGTTTTAGATTTGTAGTTTTATAAACCTTTCAGAAAAGCAGACTGAATTGTATTCCACGTCACAGTAATTATAACTTTATATTAGCAAAGTCGAAGATGATTTTATAGATTATTTATAAACAAAAATTATTAAGATACTAGTACATGTAGTATGAAAAGGGAAAAGTAATTTCTAAAAATGCTAACTGAGACATAAAGTTCAAAACTTTTTTTTGTGTTATGACAACCAAACCAAATCCTAATTACAGCAGCTATGGTAACCCGAATAAATCAGTCCCTCCTCGTAATCGACTCTCCCACTCGCGAGTGTAATGTAGCCATCGTAGCGCAGTGAAATATAACGACTGAATTATTCGGGTTACAGCTATGGTTGTGATTTATAGGTTTAGAAGTTGTCTACCTTTTAGAGAAAGATATATAGACAGAAACCGGACAAATGATTTAATTTTGAATACTAGTACTGTATCATTGTATATGCATGTTGACCTTTTTATGATTTCTTTGTGTTATTTTTTTTTTCTGTCGTATTAGCATTTACTCCACCTCGTCTTATTTTTATAGATTTATTGTTGGAGTTCGGTATTTTTGTCATGTTACTTTTTATAGTAAAAATTTGTGATACATTTCGAAATTCATATCACTTGACCATAATTATGAAAAAAGCAAGACATTATGAAATGAACCGCTGTTGACGACACACAACAAGAGTGATAGTTTATATTCAATCGGGAGCTACTGAAGTTACTCAGTTCAGTATGACCTGTTATTCAATTTTTTTTTTCTTCGTATTGTAAATTGATGCCTGTGCCGATCTGTACTTTGTCTTTGAAAGGATGATACCTTTATATCACCCAAGGTGTCTTTGAAAGGATGACACCGCACCTTTATATCACCCTAAGGTATATATTTATTTTATATTTCTAATTCCGTTTGCCTAAGAACTCTTTTACACATGTAATCATTAAAAGATCTATAATTGCATAGTTACGTGGTTTGAGTTATTACTGTATAACATTGCATATTAACGGCTATAAAACGTGAATAAACTCTTTTATAGTTGTATATTGCATTGACATGCAATAGTGTTACGCAACTGCTGTAAATTCAAACAGGAACCATTATGCTTTAAATCAAATAAAACTGTTTTACGAATACTTTTACAAACTACATTTTCGTATTTATTGACAACACCTATTCATCATGAAATATGGAAATCCAATACAGTTTAACGTTTGATTTTTGTTTTTGATTTTTTCTAGATACGTGATACATTATTTTTTGGGGGTTGTAGTGTTTGCCCCGCCTATGAAAGTAGAGGAACATAATATATTTTTGCGATCTGTAGTCCGTTATTCCGTTATTCCGTATGTCAGTTTGACAGTCAACTATTAGTTTAAAGTTTTTGCTCAAGTTAGTTTCCTATGAATTTGTTGTCACACTAACTTTATCTTTAATACACATGCAATTGATGTGAACGTTACAAATCTTATGCCAAATTTTGGGTTTGAGTCTAATTTCACGCAATATCACTACTCTTCCGGAGCACCTGAGATTACCCCAGTTTTTATTGGAATCGTGTTGCTCAGTCTTTGGTTTTCTATGTTGTTTTGTGTACTGATGTTTGTTTGTCTTTTTCTTTTTTAGCCATGGCGTTGTCAGTTTGTTTTCGACTTATGAGTTTGAATGTCCCTTTGGTATGCTTCACCTCTCTCTTTAACAAACTCGCCAAAACAAAAACAAAAAACAAGAAAGAAGAAGAAACAGCGTTCAGTTTTTTGCTGACCTTGTTAACAAAATCCCATGCAGTGAGCCTTCAGTATGGAACAAACGGTCAACCACAACTGCATGTACTTATTCAATACGACAACATGGACCAGGTTGCTCTCAGCTGTTCCACTTATACTCTCACAACAATCAAGTGTATTGATTCCCCTTCTATCAGGGCTTTATGAATTTTTAGGAGGAAATACTGTTCTTTAACTCATTTTTTCCCTGAATTTATATACATAAGAATAAGAGTTTAACCTATGCTTACATGTAATACCATTGTTCATAGAAATCGACTTGTAGAAGTATGACTGCCAATATGTTCATGGCAAATGTATAAAAGACGTTAACACTGTTGATACATATATACAATATTTGTACAAGGTAGGAAAATAGAAAAAAATAAAAAAGTGTTGCAGCTTTAGAAACGGAGAGAAAAGCGAGGCTTACAGATTTTTTTAAATTGTTATTTCGTATTTTTATTTAATTTTCTCTAAAACACCATCTTTACATGATCGATTTTATTTACAGACTGATTTCTAAACAAACTTGCAAAACTGTTTAAAACGTAATCAATTTTTTTATCACCAAAAGTATTTGAACAAAAACATTCATAACATGCGAGTCAAAGTATATTTGTTCAGCAACTGTACATTATTTTGGCATGTGACATATTGCTTTAAGAAGAACAATTTACGCTGATGAGAGTTTCCATAGTGACATTTAAATTTATCTTAATAAGTATTTAAAGTGAAATCATTTATAAAAATTAACAGAATTATTTAATTAAGACAGACGAGAAGTGAGATTGGAATACAGAATTGAATAATTGCATGTGACAAATTTAACAGCATCAACATCGTAGAAAATGGAGGACAGCATAAAAGAACATGAAATATTTTTTTCCTGTCAGGGAAATTGAAAATAGATTACTTTAATCAGATAAATACGTTATATAAACTGATATTATAGTTTTCGTATTTCAGAATCAACAATGGAACTCCCAGAAGCAAACGGTTCTAGACTTACAGTTAAATCTCCAAAGTCACCAAGGCGACGTCGAAAGAGCAAATCATCGTCACCAACGACAGCATCGGCAAAAGTTTTTAATTTAGTGGAGGAGCAGTATGAAGCACCAAGAAGCGAATTCCAGAATCCAAAGTAAGCAATTCATGATAAATACTTTTTTTTGCCATATCTTCTTTTATTCAAATGCAATATTAAAAATCATCCGCTTGAGAAAAATCTTCTTTGTTAAAAGGTTATAATTTTTATATTAATGAAGATAAATAATAAAAATGGAAAATTACATGTTTAAGTAAAATTCGCATTGAAGGATTGATGGATTGATTTTTTTTTTGCAAAACGCTCATTTTCAATTTTTTCATGACGTACGCAAACATGATTATATTTGTATCTAAAAGTCTTAGAGCATACAGAGTTGGAAGCCCAACCGCTTTGCAATAAATGATTCTATCTTCCGGAAATCATCCTTGTTTGTTACATCCGGGACTAAACAGTAAATCAGAAAGTTCACCCTCCGCCTCGTTTATCGTGTTCTGAGGCTTTTTCAACTTTGCGCAGATCTTTTGGTGAAACCAATCCGAGGACTTTTTGCACGAAACGGGGGAAGACTTTATATATATATTTATGTATATGTGACAAAAAACTTTACGGTATGATTTAGGATTCGTATTTGATTTACATGCGCGTCTCGAATATTTCCCACCCTTGCATTGCAAATCAGTTTCTCAGAAACAACAGATAATTTTTAAACTTTAATAAATAATTGAGAAAGTATACTACAAAAGTGTTCTAGATACAGTAACACAAATATATACATATACTCGAATGCTTATATTTTAAACCTAAAATGGTCCATGTTAGGGCGTCAGTTGAATGAATAAACTTTTTAGATAAAGCAATTGAACCAATAGACACATAATATATGCAACATACGAATTTGCACACTTGAGTCATTCAGGTTCCCGCTTTGCAAAGTTATTATATTTGAATATGAAAAACATGATATCCCTTGTATGCAGAATAAAATGGTTATCATGGTTTTTTTTATTATTTATTTAATAATATAATGGAAAATTCTCATGGAAAACTCAAGACACAATAAAAGAATAAGTAAAATCAATATTTGACTTTACTTAAAGTATGAGAAATTCAGTGATATTGAATGCAAAGATTGCACGGACCAGTATTGTACGGACCAGTATTGTAATTGGTGTTGAACAAGTAATGAACAGTAGTATTTTAATCAAATTCGAAACAAAAGACAAACTTGCAATCTAGATTGGAAAACTAAAAACGCATGTATACCTCAGAATCTTCATAGCCAAGAGGGACAGAACAATAGAGGCACAACTGAGGGAACTGAAACATTAGTCTATATATAATAATTAAAAGCAATGATAAGAATTATCAAAAAGTGTGTTCATAGTTAAATCAGGTAAATGAAACACCAGTACCAAAATATGAACGGTAACCAGTTATTGCTCAACGTATAATGAGTGAATGTTAAGTTAGTATGCTTAAAAAAAATGAAATATGTGTTATTTTTGTTCTTTTATTTCTGTTGGGAATTTGAGTTATCTCCCTTCTGATGAACAAATGTCATAGCAGTAAACGTTGCAGGCTTTTTTTGGTATTAAGATAGGTTTGTTTAAAGCAGAACAAAGTGGTTGGTATTACGTGTATGTTTTCTGCTTACTTAATTAAAAGTAGAAACTTACAGAAACAAATGAATTAGCAGTACAATCCAGTGAAGGTTTAGTAACGATGATTTTATAACTTTTTAAACATTGAATCCGATATATTTTCAAAGCCTATTTTTTTTTATGTTTTATTTATTCATTGATGATTAATGTCCGTGGTTTTGAAGAGTATTTATTTGACAACTGAAATAGATTTTTTTTTAAATAGAACATAGTGAAAAATAAAATAACGAAAGTTATAGTATATATATCTAGGTATCAAATGTTCTGTGTGACATTGGAAAATATGCTGCAAAGTAAGTGTAAATGGAAGTATAAGAATGTTTAGTCTTTTAATTGCCGCCATAAGACGATTTGTCAGAAAAGAAAAGTGCGATAATTTTCGAAAATGTAATCTACATATATTCATGGAAGTTGCATTACAAAATAGAAATGAAACATTGATTTATCATAAGTTAGTATTAAGCAAGTTCAAACTTTAGTTTTTACAAAAATAACCGTAAAAAATCACTAACTTAGAAAATGTGTGTATACAATCTTTCCTGCGAACTTAAGTCAATATATTTTCTAAACAAGATACATGCATTACTTTATTGCTGATTTATTTTTTTTCCTGATTTTCATTTATCAATAGAGGATAAGATTGATTCCTGGTATAGTTTTTTACACATTGTTTGAGTTTTTTCTGTTTCCTGTAAGATTTCCCCTTCTTATTCACAAAATAAGTACACATAATATCCATCTTGTTTTGCATGCAAGAAACAAACTTTCAAAGCTGGAAAAAGTCTACAATCATGCCAATACCACAGCATTGTCAACCACGTGCGCGTGGATGATAGCTAGAAATTTTCTGTAAAAAATCAGTGAGCTCAAGGTTAAGTTAGTATGCTTCAAAATATTTTTGAAACATGTTCATATTTTGATATAACTATATTGCTACTTTAGTATCATTTGAATTTATTTTATTTTTCTGCTGATTTTCATTATGTAGACCCATAAAGTATAAGAGTTATTCCTCTTCGTATGAACATTTTTCATAGCTGTCAACGGTCAGTTAGTGAAAATCATAGATAGCGTGTCATTGAAATTTGGTATTCTTTAAAATGTTTTGGACTGTTTATTTGACCTCTCATAGAGATTTACAGGACATTGCGTTGGACGTTTGAAGACATTACATGTAAACAATACAAGTTTCAATTAATGGAAATATGAATCAATATGCCTGCAATGAAATTACCAACTATCATCTGCACGTTTGGATTTGTTATCATTAATATTACATTGGTCAGAATGAACTCAAATTTAATCAAAGAGTGAAAAAAGCATTCTATATATTTCCGTGTGCACTGGGTGTACGTTCGTTGCCAAAGTTTGAAAAGCAAGAACTGTTATAAATCGTTAAAAATCAAAAGAATCTAAATAGAAATGAATTAATCCTAAATAGAAGAGCATTTATCCTAAATGGAAGTATTGTGTTTGTTTAAAATCGTCTGTTGTTGAAGAAGTGACAACCTTGATATATATTTCATTGAGGAAGTGGGGTTTTAGGCAATGGTGGCAGTAAGTATTTCCGTCTTTCCGTCCGTCTTTCCGTCTTTCCGTCTTTCCACCCGTCCTATTTTCGTTTCCACACTCTAATTTAAGTTATTCAAATTTTACAAAACTCATACACAATGCTTAGAAGCAAAATTCAGAAACAGAGTTCGAATTTGGAATTTGGGCAGTGAGTCACTTACCGTTCTAGAGTCATGCCTTTTGTAACTTGGTAAATTGCTTTTTTTATCGTTCCGCACTCTAACTTAAGTTTTTTTTATTAAAATTTTATGAAACTAATTCACAATGCTAAGAACCTCAACACACAGACAGAGTTCGAATTTGAGCAGCGAGTCACTTTCCGTTCTAGAGTTATACCCCTTATTAACTTGGAACTATACATAGCTTGAGCGAGAGCACTGGTGTCCTAAGACACATTCTTGTTTTATTTTGTTTCTTTTGGATTTTTTGAACTCATATTACTACCATGGCCTATGTAATGTAATCACAACATTTTTAGACAGGTCTCATTACAGTTTTCTGAAACATGAAATGTATTGGCTGCGATTGGTTTCAGGCAAACCCGTCATTTCGGATATAATTTCAGAAATTAGTTTAGTATTGCACATGCACTCACGAATTATTTTACCAAAACAGCATATACGTATCAAGTATCAACTGTTTTTTTTTTTTAAGCGTATTTCCTTAATTCTAACAATCACTTTTTAAAAGTTAGTATGAAATAGTTATGAATTATCAGTGATTTAAATATCAAAGTTCTTAATTCTTATGCTTCGTCCACAAAAGTTTCTATAACAAGTGAACAGTTGGTTTATTAATAGCATGAAGCAACAAGTAATAACTTATTTCGTTGATAATTCCTTTATGGTTTCAACGACGTATATAAATATTCTTGCAAATGTCTCAAATTATTGATAAGCAGTTTTACTGACATAAACACGCTTTGATATTAAAATACGATACAACTTGTTGCGTTGCGTCATTCTTCTTTGGAATCTATATAGTCATCAAGGGAGCTGCCATTTGAATTTTATGTGGGGCTAGGATGAAAAATTTTGTCCTGCATTTTTCTCAAGTTGTAATCTCTGCCCTGCCTTTTTATTTTTCACTCTATTCGGTCCTGCCTTTTTTTTATTAGTTTATTCTGACTTTTTTTACAAAAATTGTCATCCTGCCCTTTTTTTTTTTGCCAAGTTGCTCATCCTGTTTTTTTTTTTACTCAAAACTCCTGTTCTGCCTTTTTTTCAAATTTCATCCTAGCCCCCATAAAAATCAAATGGTAGCTCCTTAATGATGTCGTATTTTTTAAAGGAACTACAAATCGGATCTTTTTGTAACTTTGGTATCAATCTTTATGTGAATAAACTCATCATAGATACCAGGATTGAAATTTTGTATTTGCGCCAGACGCGCGTTTCGTGCTTTTTTGTAAATGATTGTTGGTTTTGATATTGTAACACAGTGATGACTGCTGTACCCATATTTTGACTATTTTATTTATTATGTCTGTTTTGTTCACTCATCGTTGTAAATATAACGGAATTTGATGAGACTGTCGTACAAGTGAGAGGTTTAGCGCTATAAAACCAGGTTCAATCCACCATTTTCTACATTTGAAAATGCCTGTACCAAATCAGGAATATGACAGTTGTTGTCCATTCTTTTGATGTGTTTTGTCATTTGATTTTGCCATGTGATTAGGGACTTTCCGATTGAATTTTCCTCGGAGTTCAGTATTTTTGTGATTTTACTTTTTTTTCGTCTACAAAAGACTCATTAGTGACGCTCGAATAAAAAAAACGTTAAAAGGCCAAATAAAGTATGAAGTTGAAGAGCATTTTGGACCAAAAATTCCTTTTCTGTGATTTCTTTATGTGAGCG